CTGAGATTACTAGGAACAAACCCAGCTTTGTGGACAGGTCTATAGATAGAAACACAATGGAATCATAAACAAAGACGTATGATTATGCTTCTTATAAATTTGGACTACATCATCATCATCATCTCCCCTGCCTTATCCTACTCCCGTAGGGTCGGCGCGATGGGTTTTCGTCCTCCAAAGCACTCTATCATCCGTCATCTCAGTCATCACTCCCTTCTTGATCATGTCACTTTTCACGCAATCCATCCATCTCTTTCTAGGGCTACCTCTAAATTTGGACTACAAATAAACGACTATAAATTATTGTATATTTTTAAAGATACAAGACGCGCACAAGATCACCTGATGAGAATTAACCACTTTAGTTCGCAATCTACATCCTCAAGAACGAGTGCAGATGTACTGCAACATAGGCAACAAGATGAAATGCGCCATTACTCGTAATTGTATGTCCACTTATTTTCAATCAATGTACACGTCATAGCACGAGATTTTCATAATAAAAGATGAAATGTGTTAAAACTAAATACTACGCATTCAACAATATCAAAATTCCTTATATTTCATCACAAATCATCAAACACAAATCATGCGACACATCAATGATCGATTGTAACCGCCGTGGTGGGTTCTATCCGTTTACTATCACTGTAATAAACCAGTAAAAGGTATTATAAGATCAAGCAATACAAATAAAGGCGCTGACAGTTAGCATACTTACTTAATTCTAAATTACTAACAATATAGATATACGAATAAGGCACAGATATCTACATGGATAACATTGATTAAGAAATCATCGTCTAGACATTCATCGTTCACGTGAAACATGACATAGATCTTTATTATCGATGATATCAAGAAAATAGCTAGATTTAGGAGGTTTAAATTCAACTTAACTCAAGATATGACAGTGACGAGTAACCCTTTAGCATGATGAAATCAAAAACCCATTTAACAAAATCCCACATTGAGAACGTAAGCGTATATAAACTGTTAGAAACTATGAAACTTGTAAAACTCTTTAATATCGTGACATTTCAATATACTCTATATAGGGTTACTCATCATCATCATCCACTTGCCCTTATCCCTTACGGAGGGTCGGCACAGTATGTGCTGCTCTTCCATACATCTCTATCAGCCGTCATATCTAAATCCACTCCTTTCTTAAGCATATCCTCTTTCACACAATCCGTCCATACTTTCTTCGGTCTTCCTCTACCTTTGTAGCCATCCACATTCAATCTTAACAATTTCTGGTTTATGTCCCCATCGTTTCGTCGCATAACATGTCCATACCACGCTAACTTTTTGCTTTTCTCAATTTCTCCACCACTGACGCTACTTCAATCTTCTTCTAATGTACACATTCTTAACTTTATCCATTCTATAAAGGGTTATTATGCACAAAAAAATAATTAACCAAGATAAAAAATAATTAACCATAAATAAAATATTAACCAAGTCGCTAACGAACTTTATTTTATTACATTACTTGATCATGTTCAATACAAAACATTAACATCAAAACAGTACTGTGTGTTGTTATGTCTTCATTTCTAGTTAGTGTCCATGGCCACTAAAATCATTGTGTAAGCAGTGTAATTATACGAAGCATTAGTAGGCACTACGTACTGTTATTAACTGATAATACATTGTAATTCCTACAACTGTGATTCCATTGGCATTATTACACAAAATCCGACATCTTTAATAGGGTATAGATAATATAACTTGAATTCTATTTAAAATACATTTTAAATATAAAAATTGTTTTGAATGATTGAAATTGAAGCATATAAATGCAAATGTTTTTCAACGGTGTAGTGACGCTTCAAGCGAGCGAAGTTAAATTAGAATTGACAAATTCAGGTCGGGAACCAATAAGAAGTCCTAGCGCTTCCCTCTCGAATGTACGATATTGAATTTATTGATCTCTAGGTTGAGGGCGGGGGATGCTGCGGAAACGGGGGTGTTGAACATCCGACGCGAAGTCTCAAGAACGCATATCGAATAATTGTATTCATTTCCTCTTACTTTATATGACGGTCCGTTTAATAAAGAAATGGTCTTATAGTTACTTGTAGTTTAAAAGGTGTTTATCTTTTGTTTCTGTTGTTTTTCTCCATATTTATTCACCAGTACCAATGCGTCTTCCTTTTTATATGCATTTAAATTCAGCTGTCTTTCACGTGTTCGTTTGTTTTGTTTTTCATTGCATTTTCAGGCCTGTGTGAATAATAATATCATTGACGTCAACATCTATCTTTTAGTGGCTGTATTAACTTGGAAACTAGCTTGCTTTGTAATTTATCACCAGACGTGATTGTTACCTTCAAATAATGAACATAATATATCCTCGTTAACATCTAAACTTATGTAAATAGTAGAAAAACATTGTTATCAGTGACGGTTATAAGTTTCCGCGATGTCTGTATTGTTCGGTTTGTTATGTCAATATCGTATTTGTTTTACATAAGCTTAACACTGTTTTATTAATTGCATCATTGTAACCTCTTATTTATTAAATACTAGTTTCCGCACGTGACTTCGTCCCCGTGGTATTAATGAAATCAAAAGAAAGTAGCCTATTTGTTCTTTGAGACTATCCTCTACACCTATGCCAAATTTTATCGAGATCTGTTCAGCCATTTAGGCTACAAACTCTAACAAACATCATCCATCGATCCATCCAAACTTTCACATTTATATTATTAGTAAAATTATGCTTTTTGTACATATAATTAAATCATAGGTTGAAGGTCTATTATTTTTGTTTAATTTAAAATAAGGTCTTAAGATCCAGGTATCACATAGAAATCAGTTTAGTCTATGTCTTAACATAAAGAACCGGAGGTTTTGAATTATAATTATTTCGTTGGAGAAAAATGAATAAAAACGATGGAATTTTTGTTATAAAATTGTTGAATCTCAATGACAAATGTAAGTCGTCGAGTACTTTTTATTTTTTTTAGATAAAGATGTAATATTTCCTGTCTAACCTTTGTCTCATGGCCCATTAGTTGAGTGTCAGATTTGTTGTCTAGGTTTAGTATTACCATGAGAGATTATTATGGATATTTGTAATTAATTCAAAACAAAATTTAGAACTAGTTATTATTAACACAATAGATTTAAAAAATTAAAACATAAATGTGTTATAAAAAAATATTCCCGGCATTCAGAAGTCTTCAACAATACACAGGAGACAGACTTGAAGACTAGAGCAACTGAACAATACGCCTCAGCTATAAATATACGGACGCGCGGGAATGGAAGGTTCATAAATAATAGAAAACATCATTCAATAGACTAAGCGAGGGGATTTATATTGAGTCTAGAGGTACTATTTTTAAAACAATATGAGACATAACAATCGTATCCGCTTATCAACTGTTTTGTTTTCACGCGTGGTTCTGCCTATTGATATCGGATACGTATTTTAGAAACATTGCAACAACAACGTTGCATTTTACTCGAAAACATATCGTAAACTTATACGAGAATACCTCTAAAAGTAACAGTTGATTTTTGATTGTAAAATTTTAAAGAGAAATTATAAAGACGACAGATTTGTATTTTTCTACGTATTGACATAACTCAAACACTTCGAGGTGATTTTAAAAATCTTCCCCTAAGAACTACGTTAGCAGTGGCTATATTTTATATACATAGAATATGTTTTTTATTTTATTTTAATTTCACGCGGCAAAGTCGCCAGCATTAGCTATTTGAATATAAAACAAAGGAACATTAAATTGTAGTCTTCCTATTGTCTAGTTATAGATTTAATATATCGAATAACGCTTCCATACGAATAGCCGCACAAACCGCAACTCGGATATACACAAATAAATTCCTAAGTACTACAAACCGCAACGACCTTCACCGTCATAATCAGTGCTAACAGATTCTATGACAACTTGCTGCATAATATACGTGTTTATTATCAAAGGTAAGCGTTATTATTATTATTATTATATATTACTGCCACATTCAGTTCTAAATGGATCATTAAGGTAGTCTTTTAGTGTTGACAACACAATAAATCCACACTTAGGGGGGCACTTAACTACTAAATAGTCTGACTATTATGGTATAGAGACAAATACTGTAACTAATGCTTCAGTACATGTATTACAGGCAACATACGAATAGATCCTTTCATAGAAATTCCATAGAACCTTTTGATAAGATAAACGATTGTACACAATTATTAAATAACCTTCAAAATAATTCAAGGACTTTAGTCTGGGTCTTGTTAACTTTGATTTGCGTCCTCGTTCCAGTCGACAATATTAAAGCGGTTTGTGATAAACAGATCGGACGTACTGCGCAGAAGCAGTGTGACGTGTGCTATCAATACAATTGTCTCGAGCTGATTCCCTGCCGAGCCTTTGTATGGGAATGGTTTAACAGAATACAGCGTTTACTGATGCGAAAACTAGATGAGGTTAGTGCAACTACTGATATAAAAAGGAAAGATTTAATTGTTTGTTTGTAAAAAAATCTTTCGCCATCAGAAAGCTACTTTTTTTAAGTTTTTTTCTATAGGCATAGGTACAGTTTTTGAATAACACTAGGCACTTTTTAGCTTATCAAACTTCAGAAACATTTAGTTAAGGTTAAGATTTTTTTATAGTTTCTTTTCACATGTAAGTTAATCTAAAAATGGCATAACAATACAAAATCTCGATTATTAGGCTTGTCAAAAAAATTACTTGAGATTTTTTTTGTCAATATTGATTATCGTTAAGACGTTGGCTGAGTGCCAAGCCGGCGTTTTGCAATCTGGCGCCACACCAACGGCAACGAGACATTTTCTATCAGATAAATCATGTTATTTTTGAATTCTTGCCGGTTTTCTCCTATGGTAAGATATAAAAACCGTATTGAATTTTGCAATTTGTTTCTACAATGTCAATCGGCTATTTAATACTTCATAGATCTTGCCTTAAAACCCCACATGGATTCTATATCCTATTTAGCTAACATACCTAAGCTGTGCGCAGTACAGCTGGTGAGGGATGGCGGTCAGCACGCCCGCGCCATCACCCGTGTCGTTATCGCAGGCGCACGCGCCGCGGTGCTCCATGCGTTTCGCGAGCACTTCTGCATCGCGCACGATCTGACACAAGCACAATATTTTAAATAGTCTGGTGCTCCTCTGGAATTTGGTGACTATTAAACTCCTTACTGGTGTTACAGATTATATGAGTACATAGCTTGGGTTATATGTCCCAATAAATGTAACCTAGACCTCGTAAATGTCATTACAGGAGTTTGTAACCATAGGTTTTGTGTCAAAGTCTATGGCAATCATTTGCAAGACCAATATCATGTCCAAGTTATATCAAGTTATTATTTTAATTAGGAAATTTTAACAAATAAGGTATAAAGTAAGCTGGGTTTTAACATTAGTAAACTGCTTTTGATGCAAATGTTGGTCAACAGGTGAATGGTACTATACTTATTGATGTCATTAGCAAGATGTGTCACCTTATGAGAGCGCTTGCCGTCGATAGCAACCACGAAGCCAACGCCGCATGCCTCGTGCTCGTTCTGAGGGTCGTACAAGCCTTGTTTGCCCGGCCCTTCCCACTCCATACCTGCACATTAATACAGTCATGACTATATGTATAAAATAAACGGCAAGTGAAAGCATTCAACTTTATAAATAAAACCATTCAAAAAGACCAACTCATATGACTAGGAAACAATGTAAATATTAAGACTTATTTTGTCAAATACAGATCAGCCCTTTACACTGCCTTTGGTTTAAGGTCAGATAATTAATATAACATAATAATTTTTCTTCTGTCAGTCGGGCAATAACATAAACAAAATCCTTTACAAAACACTTGTATGGATACTATATGTTGATACCAAAACTACATTGTCACAACAAGTTATTATTGTTGTGGTGAACTTTATATTACACAATAGGGTTCAGTAATAAAACATTTGCTATAGATAAGCCTAGTGTTTATATTATGTAGGTACATAAAGACTGTATCATAAATCTAGCTATAAACCTCATTCATATAAGCCAGTCACAATTTATCATATATGTTCAATTATTGTCGAGTTGAATTTTCTACATACAAATGAAATTGACATGTAAACTAAAAAAAATAGAAACAAAAGAATTCTTTGAGAGTTGACGTCTCAAACACACAGTGCAAGCAAAACCAATAATATTTTCCCAGTTTTGAAATTATTTATATTAACATCCTAATTATTTACCTAAAATTAGGTAAATACTCATTTCAATGGCAACAATATAAGTTGACATAGTAATGAAAAATCAGAAGCCTAACATCATTGAGTTACATTATCAGTGTGTCCTACAAACACACAATCCAGAAGCATTGTGGTTCAATGAAACTAGTTTACTTCAATACAATAACATTTATGTTTATTTATCATAAATACTACAAAATAGATAAGTACAATGCACAAGAAACAATGAAGGGACATAGATATATTATATGCATTTTCAAAAAGTCTAAATACTGTTAGAAATTAATAATCATTAGGCAGCTACCTCCTTCCTACCTGAGTATTGAATATATTTATATAAGCCGTCATATCTATTCTAACCGATGAATTCTAACGAATGATATACAATCCATCCATACTTTCTTTGGTCTTCCAAATTAAATTATATTCTGTCTTATTTGATTCCAAACAGTGAAATACATTGGTAAAAAAAAACAATCTAATGGAAAATCTCCTCCTCTTTGATGTTGGTTAAAGAAGGATCAAGCCTCTTAACAATTCATATTCCTGGATCTGTGTCTGTCTAACTTTTAAAAGAAGTTATGAATAAAACATTAGATACATATTCTGTTCTGTACTCAATTTGAGATGAAACTCTATATAAATGCCGAAGTTATGAACAACATCTATATTATACTCAGTAGAAATCTGAAAGTTATTTAAAGTAAAATTATTCTGTTACAGTTCAGTGAGCTTTCATAAATTCTTATTCTTAAAGAAATGTTCAAAATATTTTCAAAGCAGGTGCTAAAGAATTTTGATAAGCAGACAAAACAAATTCCGATAAGAGCATATTAAAATCTAAAACAAAACTAGTTTAAATTATTAAACAAACTACGAGGAAATAACAAAAGCTGGTGCTAAATTAATTAATTTAATTCTTTAAAATTATTTAACGTTGTCTAAGTCCTTCCCTGCTTTTACATGTATGTATTGATTTGAATATAATTTTTTGTTGTGGTCAAATTTTTTTTTTAGAAATTACAAGTATTTCCAAACTACGTAAGGTATTTGGAATACACGATACGATACACGTGGAACGTAATACGCCGGGAGGGTTTTACTGCTATAAGTGTATAAATAACTAGGTAAATTGTAAGTGCGTGCAAAAGTACCTTAAGGTAATTCGATGATGTTATTAAACAGTTTATTGACCACACCACGTCAAGTTCACACTTTCACTAACTTAACGTGTGTAATTAACGAAAGTTTTTTGTAATTATACGTAAAATCACAGTAGAACTGTAGCACTGAAAAAGCCGGCTTGCTGTAGTGACCCCTACAGTCGACTACAACGGCCGGTGGTGAGCGATTAACTGAATAACTGAACTGTTACAATCTCAGTTGAAGAATAATTGGTTATCTGTAAGTGAATGATCAGGTACCAACGCTGATTGGTCGAAAAATCCAGTAGTGTTGCTATTGGAAATTCTAAAAGTCGCAATAAAATGAAAATAATACCCTTCAGGAACAGTTCATTTTAGAAAATCGAATGAAAATGAAGAAATAGTTTTCACATTTATTTCAATAGTGCAAGCACTGTATAATGACTATACGGAATCTATCGGAATTTCAAAAATGTCGTAAAAAATTTTCACATGTAATTTTGGAAGGGCTTTTATTTAAACTGTAGATAATAACTGTTAAATAATTCTTGCTTCTATTATTTATTTTATAAATCTTGCTTTCTAAGTCACATTTATTATTAGTTTAACTAATTTTCCCCTATTACTTGCAGTGGTCAAAGCATAGTAACACTGAAATGTCATTGAATTTCGTCGTTCATTCCATTATAAAGCTCCGTGTAGATTAGATAAATTTATGTTTTTAAGCTTTGTAAGAGTTGAAAACTAAATGTAAGTTAAAAGAAAGCAGTATTGATATAACCCGTTTACGAGTACAGAGGGGTATTCCTCAATTCGATTTTCGTATTTTGCTTATGTAGTTTAGTTTGAAAGGACTTGTGTATTTTAACAAGCTAACTTTTCAAGTATAGTGTGTATGCTCCTTTACACCTTAACAATAATTTCATTCACAACACCTTCATTCAGTCGTAATCAAATGTTTTTATTCAGTCTACGATCTTAGCGCGAGCGAGTGGGACGTAGAATAAAAGTGAAAATTCTCGTAAAAATAGTGCGAAATATTTTTTTTTCAATTTAAATATTTCAATACATAGTGTTTGTAAGAAAACTACGAAAAACTCGTTAGTTGCTTAAATTACAATTTTGTTATGAAAAAAAATTTACGAGAAGTTTACATAAATAACTTTCGCTTATAAAATTTTAATTACCACCGGATTTAATTGTTGAAATTACAAATTCAAGAGATATAAAATGAGTTTTAGCTGCTTGAGAAACGTTGCGAGGTGTGGTATGGTGAAAGTGTCCCCATCGTGCGCGCTGGTTTCGAAACTTGGGGGACCTTGTGTCGTAAGGGAGGTGCAGACGAGCGCGCCGCACGCCGCGGTAGCCCAGCACGGCACCAAGCCTGACTGGAACCGCGCCGTCAGCGAGGCGGAGAAGATCGTCGGATACCCTACGTCCTTCCTCAGCCTACGATGGGTGCTCAGCGACGAAATCGCAAATGTCGCTCTCCATCTTAGGAAATTAGTTGGCAGCAACCATCCACTATTGAAAACTGCGAAGTATGTTAAGTCTACCTAGTATCTTAACTTCTGAAACCAAAACGTAACAAGTAGGATCAACAAAAGAAATTTACCTTGACTTCGCACTTATTGCAGCAGAAAACTAATATCAAAACATGTTTTTTTGTAGATGTTTCGTAATGCGAACTCTGCGGCCTACGGCAATGAATTAATCTATGCTCGATACCTCGATATGCAATGTATTGTTACAAGTACTATATGACCTTCGTTCTGTCATTAGATATTACATCATTGCAATGATGACCCCCTTCCTGACCACCTTCACTTTAAAAAACTACGTTGAGTAAACACACTATTTTACGATACACAGAAACACTTTCTGGCCGCACAAGAACATAATTTAATGTCTCGGAACGTTTTGCGTTAGTGTTTTATTGTAAGTTAAACTTATGTTATTCATAACAGACACGCAAGCCTAAATGTTGCAAATCAATACATCATATTCAAAGAATAGTTACATCGTTACTATAGGAAACTGATAAACTCATCAAATGGCAATGAATATAATGCAGAAGTAGAGTGCAAATTTTTATTACATTAAATTTACTTTACTTCTGGGATACGAAGAATTTTCAGAAAATACAATATGGTATACTCTCAACACACTTTCTAATGTTCTTGGATTATTTTACTAAATAGAAACAATATGCAATACGTGTGATTGTATTTTAATTCCAATTTGATGCAACGTATCGCAAGAGATTTTCTGACGCTAATGAATGGATTAACGGCCGCACACATCTTAGTACAACTTTATCATATCACCGGAAAATTCGCAATTCACGTGGTACTCTAATATGCGTGTAACATATGCACACTTCTAAATCACGTTGCATTTTTTTATTTATAAAACAGATTTCTCCTTCAGCAGTATTCGTGCGTTCTCTTTTTACATTGTTTGTAGAGCGACGTACCTGTATGAATCTTTAATCTTAAATATTAAACAAACTGGTGTTTTTTTTATAAGCATTTGGCATGACTTTTACAAATTTCACCAGAGTTTATGACAATGATGCATGTCATCGACTCGGCACAGATTCTGTTCACAACTTGCAGAACCAGTTGCAAACTAGTTCGCAAAAACTCGTTGATACGGTACAAGTACATATCTATGCGACGTAGCGTCTAGTAAAGAATGTATGGTTTTTACAACAGGCCATAGATTTCCAATGTCTTTTTACGATATAATCTAATAGCTACTACCTAATGAGATAATAGCTAGGAATGGAGAGTTCTTTTAGATTAAAGAGGAATTATTAAGATAGTTCTATCTCCCTCTCATCCTGACTATTACTTTACGTTTTACGTCTTAGTAGAAAGAGATAATCATATGGAGTGATCGATTTTAGAGCTAGTTAGATTGTAAGCTTACTTTGTAGAATTATCGTTAGTTTTTCCGTAAAAATATAGTTAGAGTTATTCTTTTGCAGACAACCTGATGCACCAGTCCGTTAATTTTAACTTAAATAACCTAAAGGGATCTAGTTACGTATCTCTAGAGTGCGGCAATAAGAAAACTAAATATTTATATATACTGTTGTGTTCAGGAATTTGATCTACAATGGAAAGAACAACATGCAAGCGTGGGGACTGATCGTGTTATTGGTGTCGAAGGCTGCCGGCCACAGCCCAGAGATACCCGACATGGAGCAGGACAAGGCCGCCGGCGTGCTGCACAGGTATCTTACAATTTAACATTGGTCACATTGTAATAAAAGTATCTATTTAAACCAAACAAGTTAGGGTTTTCGTTGGCAAGGTCTATGAACTTGTGTTGCACTGACACTGCTATTGAAACATATTATTATTACTATATGTTTTAAAAGAGAATAAGAATGATAATAATTATAATAATGATGACATCGTCATCATCATCATCACCATCATTAGGTCACTACAGTCGCATGTTGATTTACGCTTGGGTTGGTGAATTTCTCCAAGTTCTTTTGTAATTAAATTAACTTACTCCATGCAGCCAACGCGCTCTAGCGGAGGTGACAGAGATGATCCGCACTTCGCATCTAGTGCACAAGGGGCTGGTGAATATGAACGCTCCACAAGTCGGTCCCGGAGACCCTGACGACATGATGTTCGGCAACAAGATCGCGCTGCTCGGTGGCGACTACCTCCTCGCAAACTCCTGCTCTGAACTCGCCAATCTTAGGTATGAAACTGTATACATTAAGAAAACCTGAGCTCTTATCCTCGTTAGATCAAAAATTGTTATTGACTTAACAACGACGAGAAATGTGTAATAAACAAACAATATCAAAGAGGAGGAAATAAGTCTAAATCGTAATATTCCAATGATCTTACTTGGCTCTGCTGCAGTTAAATTTCGCTTAATCTTTCGCTTTGGTCATTAAAAAAACAACCTTAAGTTGTATAATACAAACTAGAAGTTTTATCGCATACTCGTATTTTAACAAATAAACTTGACTTGTGAAATCTCGTAGCCGGCTATTTGATTAAACCGACTTATGTTTGAGTTTTTATTGTTTGCTTTTTAAGTACTTATGCATAAGACGTAATTACATACATTATGTGTGTGTTTATTGTTGAGCTGCGTTTGTTCAATGAGGCGTAACAATTCACTGTCAGGATATTTGCGTCGTGTCTTCATTCTTTAAAACGTCTGGTAAAAGTTAAAAATACGAGTTAAACGTAAGAGCGTGCGTACACCTGAAACTAAAGTATCGCACAACTATTTAGTCACGCTTTGATTCCTATAGGTTTATAGTAGTTGCGCACAATATTCGATTTTTAGTTGTGCAACTAAACAGTTGAATTGGCTGCGAAACAATCGACAATCGCACAACTGTTGTGCGATAGATAGTTTAGTTTCAGATGTCGGCACGGTCTAATAATAAAACTTTGTAAGGCGGGATATTTGTCTATTTAAAACCGTTGGATTCCCACATTCGTTTGCTTTCGAAAACCGGTTGCGTATTGTTGAATTTAATTCTGCGAGAATCTGTATTGGCATCGTTGCTTCTGTGAAATCTGCGGAAAGATTTTACTCATTAGTGATGTTATTGTTAACGGTTTAACTTTTTTGTTAAGGTTTTACGTTACATTATCAATCACAATCTTTTGTTTTTTTTTGTAATATGACTGATAAGTCTCAGTATTCCCTTCCGTAATTCCCTTTCGATCTCGACTCAAAAGGGAAATGGAGCCATTGAAAGGTCTATAACAACTAATAACTACTTCCTTAACCTTTCTTTAACCTATATCAGGTTAACTCATGACCTTTGTTTTCATGACGTAGGTTAATGTTCTTTGTTACCTTTTGTATTACCCATAAATGCTTTGCAATATAAAGGAAAGGTTAAAGTGCTGGTCAACGTCCGGTTCGCCTTTAGTGTGGGTGTTGGGTTCAAAGCCGACGTACAAGGCAATGACAACATTCTCCAGATTCTTCCGATATGTCTGTAATTTAACAAGCCTTTATTAATTGTACAACCTCATGTCGTATTCAAAAAGACTTTAAGGTCTTTTCACACTGAATGTAAGGTTGACTATAAAACTTTTTGCTGCTACGTGATTACGAGCCTTCTGATACCCATGCTGGATTTACCTTTTAGTATTCCTTCTCTGGCGGCACTGTATTGCTCCCATCGAAGTTTGTACGGTCGAATAATTCTTTAATGTTCACAAATAAGGTTTAAATAAAGGGTCATCTGAAGCAATGACCCTTAGAATTTACTAGCTTTCGCTCGCGACTCCGTCCGCGTATAGTTAAAAAAAGAAAAAGTACCCTATGTGTTCTTCAAGACTATCCGCTACATCTATGCCAAATTTCATTGTGATCTGTTCAGCCGTTTAGGCTACAAACTCTAACAAACATCTATCCATCTATCTAAACTTTGGCATTTATAATATTAGTAAGATTATTTTAAACTTAAGAAACTTTTCATGATAAAATTAATCATGAAAAGTTTTAAGTACTTTTTTCTTATGTTTCTTGTTATGAGTAAAATAATGATAAAAATTTTAATATTCTATCCTACTCGTGTGGAACTGTCCTTAAGGTTTGCAGATCCTCGTATAAATGGCGTCAGAATGATTAATACTTTTAATTGACTGTTTAATTCTGATTTTTATTTAACTTTTCGTCGACTCTTAACCGACTGACAAGCTTCCGGAGGCACTTATTTAAATCCTTTTTGACCTTTTTTTAAAAGATTAAAATAAAGTGAAGACTGATCCGTTTGGATTTTTCGTAATTCACTGAGTATGTTTTGTTTATTACTTATTTTAATTCTTATAACATAAATAATAATGGTTTATAATATAATGCCCACACAAACATTTTAATCTAGACATATCTAGTATTTCTATACAATCACATTACAGAAATTTATAACTTTTTAATTAAATTTTAATATTAATGTCCATTTGTCAAACTTCATTTAGATTTAATTAACATTTGATGTGTTTATCTTTTGTGGTAATAAGACAAGCGTAAAGAACAACATCGATTAGTTATATTAATTGTGTATTCAATTTAAAGAAAATCAGTATACTGTGAAGGTTCTAGTCTTTACAAACGCGATTTAGTCTTACTTCTCATTAATAGTACTACCATACAAATACTTATCACTTAATTACTCATTTTAAATGCAAAATGTTTGATGGATGTTTGTTTAAGAGCACACAAAGATATTGTCTAGAAAAACGCATAGGTTACTAAGTTTTTTTTTGTATTTCTCGCGGACGAAGTTGCGGGCAATAGTTAGTAATAAATGATGAAAAGTATAAGTAAACCGACAATAAACTTTCTCTTAAAGCGAGGTTATTCACATATTCGTAAATTACTTGAGAAATTTTAATTACCCAATCCGAAACTCAGCGCTATGAAATCTCATGTTAATTTTGAACTAGATTCAAAATTAGCTCTAATATTATTTAGGATAAATGTATTCGTGTGTAAATTACAAAAGTGTGTTGCTTTTTACGCGTATGTCATGTCCTAAGTTTCAAGGGCAAAGTACCAATACTCTTTTGAAATACATTGCTTCTTAATTGTAGAAGAGCTAGTTAAATCTTTTTTATCGTTAAGATATCAAATGATAACTTAAAATTACTTTCTGAACTAAACAGGCCATTGCCGCTATGATACATATAATTTAAAAACCATTAACTACAAACACTTTTAGTATTGTAACGTACATATAATAGTATTCAATTATAAAGTCAATTAGTTATAAATGTGAATTGAATTGCAACCAGTTAAAGGTCGTTATGATAACCGCGCGGTTTTGGTCACACTGACAATTACGAGTTCAAGTTTGTACGACTTATGGTTCGTGAAAGTTGGACCTCTTTCACAAACTTGTTTTTATCGGTACTTCTTTGAAGTTCTGAACACGTCATGTATCTTGATTAAAGTAAAGTTTTAGCGGATATAGCTTTATTGATTGGCACACTTAATCGAGACCATTACTTGATTTTTCATAATACTATTGGGGCTAGTTAACTTTTATTTTAAATTTAGTTCTTGAAATTCTGAAAAGTTATTTGAACATTTTTATTATAGTGCGTGGTCATTGTTCATATAAGTTGAATGTTTTGGAATAACATTGCAAACGATTCCAATTTACCTGTAGGAATACCACTCGCAATAAACATCAGCAACAATTAGCAGATTTATAATGTCTTTACCAACTTCTTTGTATGGGTTTTATGCACTTTACGGAATAAAACACAGAAATAACGTTGACCCCGGTACTTTCCATTTCATGGGAAATAAAATGTTACTTTTACTTAAACAAAAAATCCACAGTTTGACCTTTTATATATCCTAAGAAAAATTTTGCTGTCCATTTTTATTTCAATGTTAAAACATTTTGTATTAATATCTTAAGAGTAAAAATATGTAGTAGGATGGTACGGTCAGGTATGTTTACAATTAAATTTAGTAAAACATGTTTTTATACGTTTATATTTTACTTGTTAATATGACAAGCCGTATTCTATAAATAAATATGGCCAGGTTGTATCAGCCTATACGTTGTGTCCACTTGCCTATTGTATTTAACATTGCACATTTACATTGCAATAGAGGTGTCGTCATTAATTAACAGATGTACTAACAAATTCTTATTAAGTTTAAAACACTGCTTCAAGAAGTCATTTTCGACACGTCAAAAGAGCTAGTACAAATGGGTCTCGCGTTAGCCGGGTCCAGAATTTTTTTCCTCGTCATTATATGCTGACTTATTTGACGCCTCAATTCGACTTCCTGGCTTATCATTTTACCTTATATTACATAACAGATGATTAAGTTCCCCTTAACACTTATTTCCACTTAATACTTAAGTCAAAAATGGAAATACTATAAATAGCAGTAAATTGATATGACATATATGATAATCGGAGAGAAAATTAACATTAAATTTTACGAGTAAACATTACTTGAGAAGGTACACAGTTCGCAATTACTGTTTAATAAAACTTACATCCGTAAAAGTAATTACTGTACATCTGTAGGCATGAACATTTTTATTATTTCTTTAACATCGTAGATACGAAACCATAATAAGGGTTTATGATATTCTTACTGCAAAAACGACAGTAAAAAGGTTAATGCCCTTCTCTATATTGCACGTGGTAATTCTAAATTTATTTAGCAAGGAATGTACTCACCATTAGTAAATGGTTCTCTAATATACAGTAGAGGTGAACCGAGAGGTGAGAACATTTATTAAATGATTTTCCATGCTTTTCAAAATATATTTTATATAAACATAAAAACATACATTCTTAAATTTGAAAGAATAATATTCACGAGCACAAGTTAACGCGTTGATGTCTTTTCTAGGGTATGCAAATTTAAAATTTCCGTTTCTACTTAACCCATTGTCCACACAACGGGTAACCAAAATATATAATTTATTCAAAGGAACCAAGAATTGGTGGAGCTGATGTCTTCTGCGGTGCGAGACCTGGCCGAAGCGGAGTTCCTGGGGGAGCGAGATGAGCAGAATAACCCGCTACCTTCACGGCCTCTTCCGAAAGATCATATGGAAGCACCTTTAGGTAATTACTATGATAACTACAAAATGTATAATGTTTCACAATCCTACATGATAATTGGGGCCGAGATCACAAAAAGTTTGCACATAATTCATATGACTATAACTACATAGTCCTCTGTTATGCCGTTACATTAACACACCATCTTTTTAATTTAATTTAAATAAATATCTTTGATACATAATGACTGCAGATTCAAATTGCTATTTCGTATATTATGTATTAATAGGAGAGACATAGTATAAAAATCGGTACTATTAAATATGCTTCGGTATTCTGTTGTACATTAGTTAAAGTCTTAGTTAATCAACACAAGTATACGCGGTGTTTGTACAAACGTACCGGCCATGAGTCAGCTGCAAACTTTCACTCCGACATTCGGGTGTCCAGCCGCGCAGCCGCGTAGCCGGCTAATGATTACATTAGCGATTCAACACCCACGAACATGTAACGAAAATTATAAAGCCACTACACAGACACAGTTTTTAAAATCAGTATAAATCATTAAATATGTCTATTACTTGAATATATCAAAATTAAATGCATTCAAAACAATTGAGTAATGTCCGAATACTAAACCATTTTAATATGTAACAACGTCTTAAATGAAAAGTCCTCGCTTAAACTCCAAATTCCATTAAAATATTGACGTCTGCTAGATTGTGAGCGGCATTTACGAAGCTCAAAGTTCATTTTAGTATTCGGCCGTTAGACATTTAAAGCCTTACAAATAAACGCGGTATAAACTTAAACTTAGGTATAAACTTAGCAAAATTTGTACTAATATTTGCTTATACCCATTTTATTCCTAAGTTTACTTTATACCGCGCTTATTTGTAAGGTTGTTAAAGATTTAATGAAGTGTGAAAATGTAGTTATACTTTAATATTATTTTGAAAGAACTACTTATTTAACCTACTCGTAATTCGACATTTAAATTAAAAAAAAAGTTTGTTGAACAATAAACTTAAATTATTTAATATTTCCAAAAAAAACAAGATATGTTGTTTGTTCAGTGCATAACACTATAAGTTGTCAATATTATAGCACGGACTTAAAGATGACGACATAAAAAGGCTAGAATGTCAAGTAATGTAAATAAACGTGGAATGTCAAAGGTACAAAATTGTATACTTTCGATTTCTCTGTTAACTGTAATGTCAACATCACGATCATGCTTTGAATGAAATTTATCTTTGAACGTAAGTTAACATCAACGGGATAACAATCATAAGATATTAAAATTGTTAGAAAAACAACTTTTTCATATTAAACAGTTATAGTTGCCAGTATTTCCGTCCAGATATGACGTGGGGGCCTTCAAGAAAAGAGTGAATGCGTATTTATTAGGGTAGCGCATACCATCTTTCGACCAAATCTTCACTCTCTGTCGGTGGGATCGTGGTCAAGCGCTAGCTTAAAAACCTTAAAAAAAAAGAAACAAAACAATTAAAATTTTGTTGCTGATTTGATAAGATTGATTTATCTCATTTAAAGATAACAATGCTAACGTTATTAAATACTGAATTTATTAACAGTTAAGCCATAAAATAATATAATTGACCAGACTCTATTTAAATTTTCGGTACACCGTTATGGTTGAGCGGTTCTATTTGCATAGGAATTAATGTGCCATCGCACACCTCCTCCATTCGTGTCAATATGCCAACCTGTTGTCTGCACAGAGTACTTACATACAGACATTTCAATGGTTTATATCTATTCTTGGTTTTTATAACTTAAACATAATAATCTATCGTAACAAGTACATATTTGGAAAATAACAAATAAATACAATTAAATAAATATGAATTCGTTACATGATAAGGTGTTTAACTATTCATAGTACAAATGTTAAATTGGAAAAAAAAGAGTAATTGTGTTAAAGTGTTAACTTTTTGTTGTTATAAATACAATTCACTGTTAAATAAATCAAAAGGGAATCCTTTGCTTTCAGTTACATTTTCTAATACGACTATTAGCAAAATGGTTAAGCAATCTCTGTGTATAGTTGCTCTGTCAAAAGCACAGTGACACGGAAATTTAGATATGTGTGGAGGCGACACTTCTTCGAGACGAGGTTTCGCGTTTCGCATGACAAAATGTTTGAAATCACATACATTAATAGAGAACGCAATGTTTAAGATAATGTTGTGCGTAAATTATGTCAGATTATTCGTATTTTATAATAACATTTATAAATGTTATCTAAATGTCTTTTACTATTCGAAGTTGCAGCTATCTTATATTATCAAAGTAATTTGTTATTTTACTACCAGCTTTCGATAAAAGAAACTATTTTTTCTTTAAAATCTTATACTTTAACTTAAACCTGACATAGACATCTGTTTTATACACTAAAGTAGATTTGTGGTGTAGTGGAAAAATTTTGTTCATCATCATCATCATCTCCTTATCCTACTCCCGTAGGGTCGGCGCAACAGGTTTTTGTCCTCCGCATAACTCTATCATACGTCATCTCAGTCATCTCCCTTTTTGATCATGTGACCGTTTACACAATCCATCCATCTCTTTCTAGGTCTACCTCTTCCGATGTAACTATGTAACTAACGTTCTCCTTGTAACATGCGATTCATCTCTCCTCATAACATGCCCATACCATGCTAACCTTTTACTCCTTACCTTAGTTATGACCATTATTTATTTACTTTTAAGGTACAAAATTATAGTTGATTGGTTCAGGAAATAACATGTCTCTCATCTCATAGTCTTCCCACAGCTTCTGTGTAGTCTAGATTCAAGGAAAAACCTGAGTAGACGTGTGGTCGTTTCGCTATTAAAATTCTCCATTGTGTGCCATCGTAAGGAACTAACTCGGCCGCGCCCTGAATGCGAGGTGTGCGCTGAATGAATACCAATACGTCGTCAAGCCATCGCTATTCTTGTTGCATTTATAAATACGTTAATATCTGATTGCTGGGTGACCAGAAATAACATATTAGACATTGACTTAACCAATTAAAATTTTCTAAATCAATCGTCTTAAATATTTTCCAATGCTTAAAATTTGAGCTCTATTAGTTTACACTAGTTATAATTTTGTACAAACTATTTGATCAAACATGTTTTGCATACGTAATTATAGAAACCTTTGCACGAAAACGCCTTTGTTTACATACTAATGTAAGACAACTTTAACCGGTTGTTAAACTAAATCAAATACATGGAATTTTTTACATTACTGTTTTTAAAGACAAAATACTTTAAGACTTATTTGAAATCGTCGTATTGTATTATAATTGCTGCAGAGTTATGTTACAGATGATTCTTATTTACATTTGTATGTGTGACTTGTAGAGTGGGAGTGCGTGCTGCAGCCGCTGCCGATGGGCGGCGTGGCGGGCAGCGCGCGGCGCGAGTGGGCGGCGCGGCACGTGCTGGCGGCCGGCGCGCTGCTCGGCAAGAGCTGCTCCGCAACGCTAAAGCTCGCCGGACACGCACCCGCGCTGCAGACACAAGTAAATAAAAATCAAACATCTTGGCTGATAGAAACATTGCTCGAAGGAAGTACGTAGAGGGAAGTACAGAAGAGTACTAAGCCACGCCTGATCTAAAACGGTACAGGTGATAGACATGCGTCTACAATCATCACACTGTATCTATAGTTCAGGACAGGAGGGTGCATACCCTCCTGTCGTAGCGACGTACATGCTACATGACCTACAGTGTCATACTTGAATGAATTACTCATGCATTCCAGGGTTACCTCTTCGGCTGCCACCTGGCGCTGGCGTGGCAAGCATTCCTGGACTTGGAGGCGTTCTCAGGGCCGGAGCCGCGCAGCTTCTCTTTAGTGGGCGCGCCGCTCGCCTTCACGCTGCAAGCACGACCCGAGCTGTACGAGCTGATTGAGCAGGGACGCCGCAGCGTACACGATGTTGATTATCACAAGGTTAGCTCTATTATGCTATACCACATACTTACAACTATGATGCCACATTCGCACTAATTGCAGTAGGAAGAGGGCCACCGGTTAGTTTATTTTTTTAGGACAGGCTTTTAATGCTGGGTTTCTGATGTTTCCATTTATTTTTTTTCACCGCCTAGTGATTCAATGTTTAGATTGAACTAAATTTCAACGGAATAAAACTCATGTTACGAAGTTCGGAAACGCATTTCATGAATTACCGAACCAAAAAAACTTACGAAAGGTTAAAAGTTGCTAGAAACCCGGCCATAAGTGATGTTTTATATATTTTTTTAAATGCCAGCTTACTTTCTCGTGTAGTTATACAGTTCATTAAGAGCTTCTCTGAAGGACATCAACATGTAAAGTTAGTGTATACATCAGTTGTAACGTGGTGTGACAGTTGTACGAGGCGGTGCTGGCGGGCGACGGCATCGAGCAGACGAAGCAGCTGCAGCGCGAACACATCCGCGCCGCCAGCCACGTCCTCGACAGCTTCCCCAACTGCGACGCGCGCACCGCGCTCGCCAACATCATCGTCGCCATGCACCCCTGAACCTTCTACGATCACTTTGCCCACGCAGCAGTTACACCCAAAGTATTCAATCGCTACGGGACTCTGCTGCCTCGGGCTGGTCGTAACAATTGTGACTTGGTTTAATCATGTTTATCCCTTTTAGTTGTAAAATTTCATATGTGTAAAAACGAAGACAATAAAAAAACACCTTCTACGATCACATAGATTGTAATTAAAATTGGTGTAAAATCTCTTATGAATATGGTGCTGAGGGACCTTAAATACTCGTAGTTGGATTTATAAGATATTGACGGCCGAATATTGATACGTGATTTAAATATGAAACAGCGTCTTAAATGCTACGCTTGAACTCCAAATTCCTTACAAATTTTATTCAGATATAAGATTGTAAGCGATGCTTACGAAGCCAAGTATTTAAGATTCGTTTCAGTATTTGGCCGTTAGACTCTTTTTAAAATTGTAATTTTTTTTTAGGTTTCTTTCGATATATTAAATAAAATTATGTACAGGGTTAGTGAAGAGTCACTTGAGCTTCATTTGAAGAATATACTATTTTCGAATGCACTTTTACAAAAAAAAACAAAAAACAGTAAAAATATGGTATTTCCCTTATAATGTATGTCACAATAAGAAACCAAAGTATTTGCATTGTTCTATGCGTAAAAACACGGGAATATGTGAATGGTTTTGAATATTAAGTTAATGTAATGTCTCTTATTCAATGTACATGAAAAAAGAGTTACCAAAAAGGTGCTAAGTAATAACTTTAAATTTAAAGCTCTCATATAAATATAATCTATGTTTTAATCGTATAATTGTATTATATTCCGTAATTTTATTAACATTCATATGGCTTGGTTGAGTTTTTTAAATATTGTTAAAATGACGAATTTATTATTATTTTTAAATATTTTTGTTACCAAAATAGTTTGTAATCCATTATTTGATGTAAGAAAAAAGTACATTATTTTTTGGTTGCCTTAAATTATAAGTTCTTTTTACGATATTCAGTTATATACAAAATTCCTTCGAGAGTGGGTACAACTTACCTTCTTAATGCCTGAAATACATCACTCTGGTGTCAATTTACATTTTGCCAGTTGTATTCCAGCACTCTTTACGATCACTGGACTGGTATAATGTAATTTGGGCATCAACTGTGGATTTTCTTGGAGTTCAATTTATTGATACTCTGATAAAGGCGATTTGTATTGATTTGATCCGTCCAATATTTTAATGAAGACTTACTAGATTTTATATTGAAATTTTTTACTTTTTATTTAAATAAATTTTTTGTTACTTAATTCGCATTTTTATTCAATCCTTAATGCTGGCTGGTTGTTCCATTTGATACCGTTGCCATAACAACTAAAACTAAAATCACTACAAAGTCTTGTTCAATTGGTTACTAAATAAAACAGTCATTTCTTTTTTAAATTATTGTATTAATAAATAATGGTAGTTCTATTTACATGACACATTCTTTTGTTTTGGCAGAAGACAATAAAATATCGTTACACAAACAGTTTTCTTTGTAACTCAAACACAACCAACGCCGCGTTTGAGATACAATACTTAAACATAACTTTCACACGCACATGTGGATTACAGCACAAACTATGTCGGTGGTTGCGACATTTTTGGTTACAATATTCTCAAAATACTGGTCGTTTTTGGCTTCATCGTTTTAGCTTAAAAATAACTGCAAAGGAACAACGGCACAGTATCGTGGTTCAACAGATAAAAAATGTTAAAAAAATAATATTAATTTGACTGTGCCGCGAAGTGCCGGGGCACACTGAACAAAGACACAAGCAGTCGAGCACACGTGAGTTTAAGGTTATATCACAGGTTTCTAGTGTGACCTAATTGATACTTTCTCTTATAATCCAATTAACTTGAGATTAACATTCATCTACTTTTTTAAATTTCACTCACAAATGCCTTCGTACAAACGACGCCATTTAAATTATAATTAACACTTGTCATAAATTCAACATCTAACAGTCTTTCGATTAGTGGTTAAACGCGCAGTAACTATTTATTATATGATATTTTCCGTATTTCTAATTTTATTCTAATCTGTTTGTTCTCAGCGTCGTTTGTACGAAAGCAGTTATCTACGATAATACAAATGCAATTTAAACTGATCGAAGTTTCTCACAATAACAACCTCGAGGCAACTATTCACAACACGTAAAACGATTTAACCGTCAATTACAAAATGTTTTTTTTTATTATTTGTAAACATGAAAAATTCGCCGACATAATCCGTATACAGTTTAAATATGTTTTTTGACCTGCTTCGAACTTCGCTGCTTGCTGGCACGTACTCGTATATACTACGATTTATGAAAACGATATTGATATGTCTTGTCACACAAACACAATGCTCTGACAATAACATGTAACCTTGAGCATCCACTACCCAAGCACTTGTACAACATATTCTAATGATATCGTTTTCGTACGCGTGCTTCGCCAGTGGAGGCTGACGGTTACGAGCGACGGCTACGTATGGCAAGAGGGGCACACAGATAAAGTACACAAATAATATCAGAATAAAATTTAGGCGATCAGACAGCTCGAAAAGTTAAGCGACTCCATAAGATCGACGATATTCCGCACCATTCGTTAATTTTTTATTCAACTCCTTCATAATAATGTACATAGACCCGACGTCTATTATTGCTTAGTTTTTAAAAGTTTTGCTCTCAAAACTTCACCTATAAATAATTTCACATTCGTCCCAATAAATTTACCATTCAATAAATACGTACACGTAAAAAATATAAACTATATCAATAGTTTAATCTTTAAAACAAACTTCTCTTACCCTAATTATATATTAATAACTATTCGTCAGTATGATTTCATTCATTTTTCAATAATATGCCTACTTTATAATCTTTCCAAGCGCCTGTTTTACGCAATACTTATATCATAATTGTATTTTTTTATTTCATATTTTTCTTTAAATTATTGAACATAATTTCATTAAGATTATTAGTGACTAAATAATAGGGATGATTTCATAAAATGCACACACGACTATCAAATAAGGACATAATTTAACAGTTTGTAACGCGTCGACAGATGGCGCTGACAGCGCGCAGGCACTGGAGGAAAGTAAAGGAGACGTGAACATGCCAACACAACTTAAATGTCGAGTCGTAAAGCAAATATATTAATAATTAATATCTACTGTAACACTAAATTATTACAAAGAAAATCATTTCATAAAAGTTCACGTAATACAATATAAATAAGTTAAATATTCTAAAAATTTAAAAATACACACATCTTAAACCTAATAGAAAAGCACTCAATTACGTTTGTTGTAAAATGCATGTTGCGCCTTCGCCATGATTTCACTTATATTATTAAATTTAAAATAATATGCCAAAACAAACTCCAAATAGACAGAGGAATGGTTTTAAAATAATAAATAAACAAAGGTACAAAAATATAGACGCGGTCTCCGGCCGGCCCGGGCGGGGTCGAGGCCCTCCTTCCTGTACTTTTGCTCTGAACAAGGTATACATGTAGTGTTAGTAGTTTATGAGATCATTGCGTCGCACTAAATATTTATTCATAATGCGCTTAATTAGAAAACACGACAAAATATTCAGAATAAACGTAAAAATGCATCTATTTTATACAAAATGTATTTGTATAACTAAATACATGGAGGTCGACTCGATATTGGTAAAATTAAATAGCACATGAATATACAAACAAAAGAACTACATGGATACTGTCGCTTATCTGATACAATAGATACTAACGTAGTAACGTAAGACTAGTTGAAATGCCATAAACACTACTAAAAACTTAAATAACATCTTTGATTAAAACTCACTCGGTTCGTCGAAAACATACATGCTGTAAAACGGTAGTCAATTCCAATTTAAACGTGATAAAAAATTCCAGCTCACAGGACCAGTTCTTAACCGAGAGCGTAGTTAACTTAAAAGTTTTTTAACCACTTAGTAATATAGTTTACATTGTGACGATTGCATCTTTTTTATAATTCAAAAAGATAAATTCCTAATTGTCATCAGTATAGTATCATAAGTAGTCAGTGGCCTCTTTATATTCGTTTAAAAAACGCTTGGGATGAAATCGGTTGATTTAAAGGAATTACGATAGCTTCGGTGGAAGTTCAATGGCGCGGTCGACAACACGGCTATGTTGCGACGTGACGCGGCCTGCGTCAGGTGGCCGACTCTTGGTAGGGACCGGTCACGGTACAGGGGTGCATGGGAAATAACGTCGTCCATGACATAGTGGTGTGAGTATCTGTACGTAGCATGATCTGCCCACTTTTCTTCGCAGCGTTAGTCGCTTCGACCAGCGCTGCCAAAGAACTGTATCCTCCAGGAATAGCGTTCTCGTTATTCTTCCATTTCTCTGGGCCTGGAGTTTGCCTCTGTTCAGGCCCCGGTGTAGATGCAGGCGAAGCAGAATTCGAATTCGGTCCCGGTGTTCCTGGTGTAGCAGGATTTAATCCCAGCTTCTTTAACCTCATTTTTTCCTCCCATTCTTCGAGACCATGCTTTGGTCTATTCAGATTTCTATGCTGATAAAACACCAACGATATTCTAGTTGGATTTACTCTGTTAGGGCTTTTAACGGCCGTCGTCGAGTGCATTTCGTGTTTCGCACATTCAAATAAAACGCTCCCGTGACCCAAAGCAATTGCCACGCCACCCATCTGACTATCTTTAAAACATTCCAGATTATCAGTCACTTCTGTCACTTCTCCGATAGGCTCAGCCTTTGGTGGTTCTGGTGGATAAGGAATAGAAAAAGGTGGTGGATACAGACACCAATTAGGCGAAGATTGACACCAATTTGAGCTTGGATTCTGATAAAAATTGGGAGAAAAATTAGGGTTGTATTGGTAACCATAGGAATTATAACAATGTGAGTTTCTAATCAATTCTTCCCGTTTATATTTTTCAGCATTGTAATATGCTAAACTATTGTAATCGTTGTATGAATTTTCATATGGATTAAAATGACCATATGGACTTGGTGGAAATGGGTACGCGTTTGTCATCTGTGGGTAGTTACTGTACGGCACGGTAGTTTGGTTTCCAAAATTATTTTGGTTGGTAGGATGGAAGTTACCGGGAAACTCTTGGGCTGGCCTACTTGTTGCTCCCATGTTTTGAGTCATGTCTTCGTGGTTTATGGTAAAATTTCCTTGGGACGTGGGCGGCTGGGGTATCGTATTAGTTCTATTATCATAAGGACTTCTATGTTCATACCCTTGGCTAAAATGAGGTTTTTCTGATGGTGGATATGGTTTTAGAAATGTTGAATTTTCTACGCCGGCCAATGGGTTGACCAACTGGGATCGTGATGGCGGTCTTGCTTTTGGTACCCTAAATAAAGCATTGTCACTTTCCGCGTTTGATGCTTCTTTTGGTTTTAAAGGATCCCAGTTTTTAGAATCTGGTGATTTCCAAACACTTTTTCTTGCGTCGGGGGAAATTAACGTGTCATTGCTTGGAGACTTTAATTCAGGAATTTGTGAAGGTGCAGGAGATGCTGGAGTACTCTGTGATTTCTGTGATATTTCCGTCAAGCGCGGTGAGTTGGGCATATCGAATTCCGGCATCTTGTTAGAAATATCGCTAATTAGTGTTTGCTTATCGTTTTCAGATGTATTTTTCTGAGACAGTTGATCTGAATTTGTTTCGCTTCGATTTGAGTCAGGGCTAAAATTGTTAGCGGGACCGGTGAGATGGGCCGTGGTCGAATCGGGATCTTCTTTTACTACATTGTTAAACATTTCTGCGTTAGCAAAATCAGGCCACTGATTCGCGGGTTGTATTTGTTCTTGATTGGTATTGAATGGTTGGTCTCTCTTCTGCAAGCCGGACGCAAAACTCGGCAGTTGATTGGGATTTGGGTTTTGACATGTATTTTCTATTAGTGGGGATACATTATTTGGATTGTACATACTGTTCTGGTGATGTAAATTATAACTTTGATCATAGGCATTATAAGGAGAATCTAGAACCGTACTAGAGATTTGATTACTTTGTAATTGGGCTTCAGTAAAATTGTCGATCATAGACGCCATGTCTAGCAACGCAGGATTTGATAAATTAGGGTTTATGAGACCGGAGGTATTGTTATGCATATTTGGATTAACAAATGCTGAGTTATATGGCGAGTTATTAGTGAAAGGTGGATTTGGTTGGTTCATTGCTGGTGTATTGGCTCGGGGCGAGGCGCTGCTCTGGTTCTTGGGACTTGCGTTATTCCTAATATCGTTTGGTTGCGGCGTTCTCGGTGCTGCAGCGTTTTGTTGTTGCTTCTTCTGGTTGTTAGAATTTTGCTGGGACCCGGTGTTCGCGGTAGAGTTAGCGCTGTCTGAACTTTCTTCATCCTTACGCTTCTTTCCGTGTCTCCTGCACGGTTGTAGGGGCACGGAACGGACTCTCACTTCCATTGGAAACCTGAGGAAGTACATAACAAACAAGTTAAATATAGTATACTCAATAATAAAATTACTCTTTAATTTTAAAGGTGGTTTATATGCTTACTTGTCCAGTATCTGCAGCGCGCCGTTGCGCACTTTGTCCTCTTGTCCGTCGACGGAGCCAAACTCATCGGTGTTGTCCAGCACGTAGAGCGGCAGCACGTGCAGCTGCTCGTGCTCGGCGCGTGCCGGCCCGCGGTGCCGCGCCAGCGTCACCACTGCCGTGCAACCGTTGTGCATGTTGTGCAGGTCGCGGTGCGCGTGCGCGCAAAAGTCTATGCAAGCTGTCACGCCTGAAGACAAGGCATTAATAACGTTAGATTATTAAAATGGGTAAGAAGATATAACCAAACTTAGTAATATCTTTCAATATAATCTTGTACAAAACGATACAATACAAACCAGAAAATGGTCGTCCAGGCTTAAATCCCAATCGGCAGTCGGAAGCTTCTTTTTCAAACTGGCACTGATTCTCGAAGGACTTGGGAGCGAGGTTCATGTAGAGTGGACTCAGTAGAGTTGCGAGAACATTCATCCTCTCCTCTATCTCCGCCTCCTCAGTTTTTACGGACAGACGAAATTTGCGCACGGTTTTGGATCTTGCGTATTTGCATCCGTTGTAGTACATAGACCATGAACAACCGAAACTATATGACGCGCCGCATGTCTCTGGATCCAGCCCTGGAAAACGTTGTGTAAGATAAGTAAATACACAATTTTTTTCCTATTTAATTCCTAACCTATTTAGCTACAGTTTTTTTATCGATGATAAAGACGTAGGAAAATAATTTCATCTAATTTAGTTACCTTGACAAGCGCAGGTTCTATTTTCATTTGTGGCGCAGCGCCGTGTGGTGGGCAAGCCGTACCGGTTGAGTTTGTGTGAGAGGAGTGTATAGTCAAGGTCGGCCTCTGACTGCGGGATGCCGTCCCACGCAACCAGACACACTACGATCCACGCCGAGGTGCACTTATGCCCGTTACGACACTTCACTACAACCAGGACTTTTTCCGTGTAGTTGGCACGTCTGATTATCTGTGGAATGAATATCTAGGTTATGTTTATTTTAGTATTACATATTTAAACTAAAGAATGTTTCTATTGTTACAATTTCAGATTGTAATTATAAAGATACGGAAAGTTACTTATGGAAACATTTGATTTGATGTTTAATTTTTCTTATTACGAAATAATAAAAATCCAAATTTTTGGGATCCATACACTCACCCACTTTGCCATCGGGCATCCTTGAGCCGTTTTGCCCTCTTTGCCAGTGTAACATATCTTTTCTATCCTCAATTCTTTTCCTGATAGCCCTGTTCGCGTTTCTAGCTCTTTTCTTAATTCCGCTAAGCTAGAGGCTGCTCCTGAAATGAAAAATGTAATTCATGAATGTATTTATAAAAATAAATTTCTTCATCAACGACACCTACATGTAACATAATTTTCAAAGAATCAAATGAAATAAAAAAAAACATCTCTTACCTAAATGAGTGTAATAGCTGCCTGGTTCTGGAGGATTTTTATCAGCCGGGAAGCAGTTACAATCCGGAACCTCAGTCCTTGAACTATTTCTTAGTTTTTCCAAGTTCTCGAGATATTCTTTAGAATAATTAAATTGATTTTCTTTAGGCTTATTGTTGTTATCCGGTATGGGTGTACCGGGCTTAGAAGAGTTCTTGGAATCAGATTTTTCCGTTGAATCGGGATCGTCTTCTAGAATTTCATCTTTAGTTTGTAAACCCGGACAAGCTCCATCTCTTAAATGCTCAGGAGGAGGTTTCCTGGTGGACCCTTGGCGGCAGCAAGAGTATCCAACTTCGTTCCTTATCGCCACCGGTCCTCCATCCCCAGAAAACATATAAGGCTCGTTTTTGGGAGGTCCATAATTTATGTTTTTGTATATTTTATGACCGGGGGGTGAATGCTCTGATTTTATTTGCTCGATGTAAAATGGTGGTTTGGGCTCAATAGGTGTGGATCTTCCAGAATTACCTCGACTGTCAGAAGTTTTATGAGTCTTTTGTTCGAAATTCTTGTTATATCTTTGAAAACCTATATTTTCTTGGACGCGAGGACTTTGAGCAAAACTTTCATGAGTTTCTTGTCTACGTTCAAATCCAAAGTTTTGGAAATTTTGATATGTTTGTTGTTTAGGGCCAAAATTTTCTTGTTTTATGGTAGATATTGGCGGCAGTACAGTATTGGCTTTAGCCAAAGTACCATTAGCGAACTCTCTGTAAGCATTATTTAACGTTGCCTCATTTGGCTTTTTGCAGGCATTTTGACAGGAAGTTCTTATTGTCTCGGGTTTTACTCTTTCTCCTTTCTTATACTGATAATTATCAGGGAATTCTAACTTTGGGATTAAAGGCGCATTAGGATGCCTAAATTTTGCGTCATAGGCTTCTCTCTCAAAATGCTTATTTTGTGCGCTTATGTCCCGAGCTAAGTTTTGTTGATTCATTTCAGAAACTGGTCCTATTAGCATTTTTGATTGGAAATCTTTACTGTCTTGTTGCGAATAACTTAAATTATCACTACCGAAAACTTCCGGAAATTTTTGGGAATCGACTGTGGGTGTAAGATTCGAGTATGCATTATATTGACCTCTCATGTCGGAATAAGAGGGCAGTTTTTGTGTTTTCGACGCATTAACAGATGAAAAGTTTTTGTCATAACTCCGCGGGACATCCGTCCCGCCCTCCCATACTTGGTGGCCACCACCTCCGAACTCGCTCACATTATAAGTGTGAGCTCCGTGGGAATAATTACCAGCTGCAGAATAAGCCTGCTCGCCTATGCGGTAATTATCTCGGAGATGGTGGCTATACGATAAAAAATGACCGGTAGTATTTTTATCGTCATTGGTGGAAATACCACCTTTCCTGTCGTCAAGCCCTCGAGGTGGGCCTTCGCCAGGATCGCCTTTGTCCGGTGGTGTATTAGTACCATCCCGGGTATGGCTCTGTTTATTCAAAATCATAGTTTTCAGTCTCGAGTTCAAGTTTACCCTGTCTGACTGCGAAAACATTTGTTGTTCAGATTCATCTTGACGCGATTGCAATTGTTGATTCTGAATTTGCTGATTTTGATGATTTTGCATTTGGATTTGATTTTGTAGTTGTTGCTGTTGATTTTGTTGATGGTGATTTAATTGTTGGTTCATCTGTTGATTCTGCATTTGTTGTTGGTTTTGCATCTGTTGTTGATTCTGTATTTGTTGCTGGTTCTGCATTTGTTGCTGATTCTGAATCTGTTGCTGATTTTGCATTTGTTGCTGATTTTGCATTTGCTGCTGATTCTGCATTTGCTGCTGACTTTGCATTTGCTGCTGGTTCTGAAGTTGCTGCTGGTTTTGAATTTGTTGCTGATTTTGTATTTGTTGTTGATTCTGAATTTGATGTTGGTTCTGCATTTGCTGGTTTTGAATTCTTTGGTTATGCTGCCACTGACGTTGTTGCCAGTCATTTTGGTTTTGTGCTTGGTTGTTTTCCCTGTACTGTCCGCTGTTGTAGGCGCCCGAATACCCGCTACAGTCGAGTGAAGCTCGCGGACCGTTGCTCCCCTGCAGGTATCCAGGCTCGGCGTTTCCCGAATGCTGACCATTCGTTCCACTTTGATCTTGTCTGTCTCCATCATTGTTAGAATCTCCCGTTGTGCCATCAGCACTGTTATAGTCCTCCGCGTGTTCTGTTGCGTACTCTGTGCGTTCATAATTCGGTTGACTCACAGTATAAACGGATGCTGCCGTTGTCGGAACTGAGTTTTGGTATGAAACGGCTGAGGCAGGTCTTGAATCACTACCACTAGTGACACCAGGAGTGGCAGCTTGGGCGTACTGCTGCTGGTATTCCGTCGTATAATGTGGAGCTCGCGGCGAGGGCACAGGCGTATACGCTCCACGATTCGATGGCGGTCTTTGTGCAGGCACAGCCTGAACTCCGGCTTGATAATAGGTGTTGTTAGCTACATCGAAAGTAGTCGCAACATTCTGGACGGTGTATGTAGTGTTTGCTTGATAGTGGGGTGACGTAGCATAAGGTGTGTGAGCGCCTTGGTAATCTAACGTCGTTTGGCCTGTCTGGGTAGGAATTTGTTGAATGAATTGATTTTGCCAACCTGCAAACAAGATAATAAAACATTATTTTTAATTAGCATTTTTTTGGTTGCTGTAAATTTCTATAAAAACGAAGAATATTATGTTATACCTTGTGATGGATCTGTTTGCCACGTTGTTGGGAATCTGTTGGGATCCCCGGCGTAAAATGGCATCGGAGCCTGAAACGATAACAAAACAAACTATAAACAATTAAGATTCGGATTTTATGTAGGTAAGTGTATTCTTATATTAGTTTTCTAAGTTAAACTCTAAATTGTATGACTAATGCGACCTCTATTGAGCCATTAAAATAGTTAAACAAGTCGTAACACTTCAATGTCGGTCGTAAAATAATTAGTAGGTGTTAACTCTGAGAGTGACGATGTTTTGTTATCTAGAAGTCATTCTCCGCAACGTGGCTGCGAGCGGAGTTATCGCGTTGCCCGAGGTCGGTAACGTAGTATATAGTTATAAATATTGTTTTCCATGGCAGATAATATCCATTTTCCGCTCGAAAAAAAACGCCAAAAATAACTCTTTGGTAACATTCTTAAAAACTACGAAACCGAGCTTCAATGTTAGGTGTAAATACTTTAATTAAAATATTTTCAAGGTTACTTAATTCAATACCGCATCTTTCCGCATTGTTGCCTTTGAATTTTATTTATTAAATTCAGTTTATCTGAAAAATTCAACATTCTTTTAACATTCTGAAGGTCTCGCTGTTCAAATTAATACCTGCTTATGAAACTTAAAAGAGTGTTTTCAAAGACGATGTAATTAAAAATAAACTCTCAACAAATATGAGGGTTTCAAGTTTCGACCTAAAAAGCAGGTATGAGTTTTTTTTTATATTTATTCAAGGGATGAAAAATTAAAATGTGAAGTTTACGTGTGTGGCATAAAATGCTATAAGAGAAAACTTCGACTTCCGAAATTAAGTTTCAATTGAAACTTTAAACATAATCCCAATACCGACATTTGAGGGTTCTAAAATTAATTTATAATAATAAGTTGAGAAGTTAAAAAACCTTATCTGTCATGTTTAATGCTAGTACAATGCATTACAAGTGGAAAAGGTGTTTAAAAGCTTTAAATATTTATTTTCTTTTCACATTAGAAGGCGTTTTCATTGAAACATTTTAAGGATTTAATTTTAATTTGTGCGTGAAACGAGACATTACAGCTCCGGTGAAATTTCATTAGGAGCGACGCGAGCTTGTAATTAAAACTTATACACATCTCGTAAATTACTTTATTATTTATCTACGTGTACTTAATTACAAATGTTTTGTTTATCGGGTGTTTTGTTACAAATGTTTACAATATACGTCCGTATCAAGCAACGACTTTTTCCTCTTGAATGCCAAAAATATCTAATCGATTCTTAAATTTGATAACAATTACTCATTAATCATAAAGTTTAATTTTTGCTTTCCCTTTTTTGTATTTATTTCCTTAAATTTATTGTTAGGAAAAGGAAGTAATCAGATAAGATCTTTATACGAATTAAATCTTTAGTCTTTTAAGCCTTTGGGATAATAAACATGTATAAATTTAAATTTATTTGTAGGTAATGTTTCGCAAAATGAAATAAATGGGTCGTAGCGACAATCAGGGAACTATAAATTCTTAAAGCGAAGCGGGAATGGCCCAAGTTGGACGTTGCAGCAAAAAAACTAGGAAACTTCGTTCATTCTGTGTGACCAACATTAATTACTTTAGCATTTTGTTAAAACCTAATGTAAACATTTTAGTTTTTACAATATAGGGCGGAATACATGATCTAATTCACCATAGAATCCCAGGTAATATATTTGAAGAGATTAAGAGCCTAATATTAGTGTTAAGTTAATTGATAAGGCCATGCTTACTTAAACTCCTACTTACATTATTTTTTTGACATCTGTCAGATTGTCAGCGTCATTCATGTGTTTTAGCAAAGTTGGTTGCAAAATAAATTCGTTTCATTGTTTGACTGTGAGAGTCGTAAAAAAATATTTATTTCAGTGAAAATTTAGGAAAGATACATTTTAAAATGACCTTTATTAAAAGTGATATAGGTATAATTTTGTTAACAACAATACGCTATAATTTGTAAGGAAACAAATTACGCGGCATCAAAGTTGATTCCGCTAAGAAACAAACACAATTAAACGGAGAAAACTCCATTATAATTATGAAAACCGTCTCTTGACGATATTTTATTCTGCAACAACGTAATATGGTAAGATAAATAAATTTAACAAGTTCAGAGTAGACGTCGCGTTTTATTTATCTACGAGAATTTAATTATCAATTCAATTAACTTGCCGTCTATTGAGAAAGCTGTAAACTTAATTGCTTTAGGATTGAAACGTGTGTTAGAAATGTAACATTTTAACATAAGTAAATTACAATAATGTTAGTAATGATTATTAATATTATGCGAGTGACAATTAGCGCCGGGAGATAAAAAAAAAAACCAAAGCCTAAAAGCTGGTTTCGGGTTTACATTTAATGTAGTTCCTTATCAGATTGAAGCAAAAACAAAACATGTTTTTATTAAAATGTTTTATTTTTAGACATCTTTGTAAATTGTATTCTTTATCTTAATGTATCTACAATCGAAAAATTAGCAAACTTTTAAGAACAGTAAGAGAGGGCGCCTTTGATTAAACTCTCGCACAACGGTTGTGCGATTGTCAATTGTTTCGCAGCCAAAACAACTGTCAAGTTACAAACTAAAAACCTTCATTTACACTTATAGAAATAAAAGCAAGACTAAGTTGTGCGATAATTTAGTTTCAGGTGTTTTCAACTCGATTTATGTTTTGAAAACTCTTATAAAGAACTCGCACGAAATGACTCACTACAAAACAGTACATAACGTGGACAATGGTTACCTCAGTCGGGACCTTTGGGTTATCGTACAATAAATTATTACATCCGTTCATAAACATCTGCAAATGATTTGTTACATCAACGCACTTGAAGGATACCACGAATGGCAACATTGTATCATTTAGCAAAACGCTTTCAATGTAAATTTAAGCAGGCATTTTTAAAGAATTTTCTTTCTTAATTTACCTAATAAAATTTATAAGCTTTGTTTCGTAATTTAACTAGCAAAGTAATAAAAACAATAAACATAAATTAAACGGTAACAAGGGGCCTTAAACGGATTAAGTTCCTTACGAGATAATCCTTTATTCTTATTAACCTTCTTATTCCGCGCTAATCGGTTAATCTTTTAATTATTCTTTGAGTAATTACATCAAAGTGAATTGTTTGGTTAGGTTTAAGTAAATAGTTAATAATTTCTAAGTTTATATAAATGAATAAAACTTCACAATTGTCTTGTATTATTGATCAAACTAAACTAAAATATTTTTAAACCGATATAATTAGATGTTTTGGTCGTGTCCGGGACACTGCCACGGCCATATTATAGATTCGTAACGTATCATGGCTATATTATTATTAATGTTTTTGAGTAAAGTGGTGGTCAAAATCGACTATAGATTGCTTGTCACTAATTTTGTAGGAAGATAACAGAGATCAAATGTATGGAGTTGACGACTTACCATTGGCTGGCTGGGATGGTCTTGCTTCATGGCGGGTGTTGCTGCGGGAGCGGGGCTGGGCGCGGCAGGCGCGTGCGGCGCGGGCGATGGGGATGCAGCCGCCGGCACGCCGGGGCTGAGGCCGGGCACACCAGGCACCGGGACCACGCCGCCTCCCAGAGGCTTGCGACCTCGGTAGCTCTGCAACAAGCAATGTCTCATGTTAAATGCTCTATGACAAAGGGAACTGTCACATTGAATTTGTGATAATATAATGAAATTTTTCGCCATCCAGATTAGGAACGCTCTAATTCGGATTTTTTTTATCTTCAATTAGTGCATAATAGTAGACGTTTTTCCGCGAATCTGTTCTATGTCTAATAAACGTAAACATATGCATATAATCAACTGTCGTGTAACAAGGTTAAAAACTAAAAATTAAACATGGCCGCCATGTATGTTACAAATTAAAGACCTCCCAAGGGCACCGCCAAGGTTCTTCACCGGGAAGCGCGCTGTAATCGTCATGCGTGCAGTAAACACGGATAGTGATTTGAATACATAGCGTACATATTATATTATGTATTTAAATAAATATACATAATATATTTGATAAGATGGTATAGTTTTGTTTCTATTTCACTAATATTTAATTTAAGTATTTCTATGAACATTTATATAAGCGACAGTTTTAGTAACCATTAAACGACTTAGAGGGAATTAAGAAAATTAGGAGACCAGTATGAAATGAGCCTTGTTCGCGTCTCCTATAATTATGAAATTGATAATAGAAATTTCGAAATTGCGTGTCTTGTAATGTTTGTTACAGGAAATGCATCTTAGTAAGTGTTATTTATGTTTAAAATAAGACCTTTTATAAGAAAATTACAAGAAAGTATTGCTTCTAAGTAACGATTACTTGGACATAGGTTTAAATAATGTTATTTTAACATAAAAGTAGAAACTTAATTTCGACAAACCAGTAATTTTTCTTAGAGATAATTAAAATACTGTAAGGTAATAATTTTATGTTATTGGTTTCTCAGGTAACTTTCCTATAATCCATTTATAAAACTATTATGAGTACAAATTGCGTGCGTAACTTAATATTTGTATTATTGCGGGTACGCAGCTGCGAGATAAATATTTGCTGCTTCAACGATTTCCAATACGCATTCTGTTTCTTCATTGTTGTTAAATATACATCGTGAATGGTAGCTTTTTATAGTTGAAAACTGAGGTATTTTTAATGTACTTTGGAGATCCATTTTTTGTATTTATTATATTAAAGAGATAACAACCATAATTTGTAATAATATCAAGCCATTGATTATAATAATAACTCGATTATTGAAACCAAATTTTGTCTAAAAATACAGTATTTTATCTTATTTTTAACATTGGATCAAACAAGACACTTTTGTTCTAAGACTTTATAACGTTGTCAAATAATACAATTTACACTTAGCAATATATAGAAAGTTTATACAAAACTGAACTAGATTCAGCGGCGACTTTCTTATTGCAATATTTTAATTGGATGTATAAAACATCTCAAGGAGGGTACACACTCCCACGCGTTCACTTAAAACAATAAGTCAAAATTCAGGCCTCTACAAAGGTCGTCCATTAATCGTAAACAAAAGAGCTATTGTGCCGCTCTAACTTGGCTGTTGTGTACACACGCCTTTGTCCAACTTCGTACAACCGCTCCTACATTTAATTTTTATTGTCTAAAGATAATTTGTATAGAATGTATGATGAATGTCCTAATTAAATATTTAAAAGGAATGTAAATTCAGTATTTTAATAAGAAACAAAGAATTGAGGGAGAATGCAAGAAAATTATAGAGCAATGAATTCACATTACTACATTATAATTCGCATAATATAAGAAGCATACAAAAATATAGTCTAATAGTACCGGATAAAGAACAATCGCATTTATCAGTGTTATCTAGTTTGACGTCACAGGTCCAGTTTATTCTGGACGGGTGTTCAAACGTAGTTTATCGGTATTTCTAGTATAAACTATACAAACAAGCGTCAAGGTGGACGTAAATTTGCGTCATAGTCAAGGGAATTTTTACGTTACTATCTAATTACCTATTCTTATTGAAATTTTGATTTACATTTGAAATCTTATAAGATCGGATGGAATATTAAAATCGACCGGAATTAAAAATTAAATTTATATACCTTTGAAATTAAATTGGAGCTGAAATAATAATTTGGTTTTTATGCAAATAAATTCATCCATTTCGACCTTCCGAAAGTCCGCAACCATTCTAAATTAACCTTTACGTTTCCTTTCGAATAGCAATAGATATGAATCTCCATCAGAATATATAATTAGGTATTGTTTATAATGGCATCGCACTCGGCGCAAGGTCACCGTATCTTTGATCTTTCTGGCTCAAAATCAAAACGTATAAATCGTTAATTTTGTGTGACTTACGAATTAATTTGGTGCAAGATCTGCAAGTCTCGTTGTTTGCTTTCGCTTATGATATGTAGCCGGCGTATTTCAATTTGATTTACGTTAGCTCGTATTGTTTGTCGAAGTTTACATTATAATGTGCTATAAAAGCTGTGGCTTTACGAGAAATGTTGGCACGTTTAATACAGATTATCTGAGGGTGTAATGCCAATATTTGCGTTACGGTTGCGATAAAGTATTTGTAACGTCGGTTCATCGACAATTTTTTGTACTTTACGCTAGGTAGGGACGCCGCAAAAATCTGTTTTTTTTCGATTACGTTACGAAAACTTTTTACCGAATATTCACAATAAGCCCTCTTAGAGACAAAGGTTCGAAGTTCGAAGATTGATAGTACTAATCTTAACGGGCCAAAAATCATCTTAGCTATTGTTCCTAATAGTTCTTAAAAATGTTTGATGTGTGTTTTGGAGTAATTAATGTATAATTTACTTTCATAAAATTGTAGTTGAACCATACTAACAAATTTTAATAATACACTAACATTAAAATCAAGTTGCAGGCTACGTTAATGCCAGTCTCACACGATAGGTATTTATTGTTCGTCGGGAATACACGTACTTTAAAATAAAACAGTGAATAAACAAATGTATAATGATGGAGAGAAATGTTGCCACATAAATAATGAGCCCGCTTGTGTCTAGCAGAAATTATAGTTTTTTAAACTTCATAAATCTTAGATACAATGCAGACTGTTTTATACATTTTGACATTATACGATTAATATCAGTATTTTAAAAGAAAAAAGTGTTTTACGGTTACGTATTAATAGGATAGAAATACCAGTAATAAGTTTTTGAATTTTATGCTCAAAGTAAAAAAAAAAACATTTTTTTACTACGTCCGATAACAACTCATGTTCTAAATATAAACACTGTAAAATTGAAATTAAAAGCAAGCAAACAAACATATAATTCTGCATTGATTTATTAAAAAAAAAACGAAGAAAACAATTTGACTCTACTTTTCAAATATCCTTTACACCGAAGCTAGGTTAGTACGATATTATTATAGCAAAAGATTCCAACACACGGATTGATTTGATAATATTTAAATAATTTCCTGTTACCGCGACGAAAGAATGCTAACAAATCCATCAAGTTTTTACAAATAACCTATTAGATTCATACAGATTATGTTCTTTTTGATATACAAACTCATGATTCGTTACGAAATAATATAACTAATATTATAAATGCAAAAGCTTAGATGGATGGATGTTTGCATTGATTTACGAAATAGATGCACAGACCTGGCTGATTTTCCATAGATGTAGAACATAGTATGGAAGAACACATAGGCTACTAATTTAGTTTTTTTAATTCCACGCGAACTGATTCGCGACAACTAGTTTAAAAAATAAATACTTTAGCTACAGCTACAGATACAGCTATGTTTTAACTCTTTTATATATGGCTAGTATTAGGGAGTTTCATTTTATAAAGAGATCTGATAGAGTTTTACTCCGATGCATTTCTAAACCAATGAACTTTATTTAATATACTTTGATATATTCTGAGAACAACAGATAAGAGCTATAAAAATTCTACAACAGTAACACCAAAAGGCTTTCAATTTTTGTTCTCTATGTCGCTTTTATTATTTTATTGTATTGACTGATATGTGACTATTCTTGAAATGAATTTGGTCATCTATACTGTTATAATAAAGCGTAAACACACACTTCTTTGTTGCCTAAGATGTCAGCTATTACACCATATTTTTGAATAGTTCTTTTTTTAATAAACAGGCCTGCAATTACGTCACGCTTCAGGCTATATATTTTCACGCCATTAAGTTTAGGGGGTAAATATTTTGGATAAAAACCCTAATGTGGGAAAGAGACCATAAGTTGCTGCACACATCAAGGAAGCAAGACATTTGCAATTGATAATATGACACTTGTAAACAACGAAATAAAATTTTCATAATTTTATGCGGATGAAGTCGCACGGGAATAGTTAGTTGTCATAAAATTATAATTGTGACTTCGATCGTTTTGTTGATTGACTATTGGCCAGTTCAGTTGTTTACGATGGAAATGATTCACAGACATTTAAAGGTACGATGTGTTCTAATTAGATAAGGTTTATCGGGCGTCATGCGACGGGTTGCTTGTCTAAAATAATTAATTACCCACCATGGTGCGGCCCCGTTAAATGGGACACGATAAATTTAACTTCAAGGATATTTTTCACGTTACATGACGGTGAATTTCGGGCGAAGAATAGACCCAATGACCGTGACGAAGCAGGATAGGAAAGGTGTAGAATAACCAAATGTTTTATAGTTTTGTAGTTAAAGTGCTTAAACATCAATTGTGTTTAATAGATATCGTTTTACCATAATCATTCTTTACGTAAAAAAACTGACTTGCATGTTTTTAATCAGTAGATATTTGTACGATTCTTTTGACATTTCTAGGAACTTCAAAGACTTTTACCTACAAAGCTATACATACTCTTTTGGTGAAAATTAATACTTCAATTGTGTAATCATATAAATGATATTAAAAAATACGTCCTTTTTGTTACTAAAACAAAAGAATCTCAAACATTTTTTTAACACAAATAGCGTTGATTTACGTAATGTAACAATAAAACTGGAGGTACATGTAACATTGTCTTGGTTAGCAATATTTTTGGCGAAATTGTGAACGCGGCAATAAACGGGCGTCGTTACAAAAATATTATTCGTTTTT